ATAACATGATAAATGGAATGGTGATAAATATTTTCTAATTTATTTTTTTTGTTTTAAATGTATTTTTAAGTTGTAAAAGAAACATAATAAATTAATGAATAAGATTAACAAATTAATATAATTTTTAAACTGACTTTATGAACAAATTGAAAAGTTTTAGTATATTTTCTCTGTATTTTCAAACTATACACACTTTATAAAACTTAAAAAACATTATAATTACATAAAAATAAAAGATTGTTTGTATATTTATAATATTAATCAAAATTAATGATCTAATTTAATACAAAAAAGTGTTTTTAATCTATACAAACAAAAACTAAAACCGATATTTCACAAATTATTGTTTCGTTTTATATTTTACAAATAATTATATTAAACTATATTATCAATTTATATAATTAAGTTGATTGTCATTTGCAATTTTTCAGACGATTTGGTAAAAAAACGAAATGTTTTAAGTCTTAAAACATAATTAATTTATCTATAAAGAAACGAGTTTATTTATTTTAAATATTATTTAAAGAGTTTGAAATCTTTATAAAATAATTGAATTATAAAATGAAATTGTGTAAATTGAAGCAGATCAAAATATCTCATAAAATATCACATGTTATAAATAAATAAAAAAACAAAAACGAAAAATTAAAAAAAATGATTTTGTAATTTATAATTTGATATATATTTAAAAGCATCATTAAAACCTTTTTAACGATGTTTTGTGAATTTAATAATGTTTTTTCAAAGGTATTTATATAATAAATTCATTTTAAACTGATAAGTATACTCAATGGTTCTATTTGTTGTATTGTTGTTGTTAACCAGCACCATTTATTCAAAATTAACAATGGAATGGTGTAAATATCCCAACAGAATTGAATGTGTACCTTATGGTCAAGAATGTGAATTGAATTATGAATGGAGTTTGTCAACTGAACAAATTCAGTTGCCTTCAATTAATGATGGCTTTATTATCAAATGTGAATTTAACACACACTTGGAAATGAATATTAATTTAACAAATCACTTTAATTTATCTTTTGATGAAATTAATACATATGTTTATTCCCAAAAGTTTAACAAATTTAAATCAGAACCACAACCTTTTCAAAATATTAGGACAGTAGTAAACACTAAAACAATAATTAAAACTTCTTGTTCAAATTGCAAACAGTGTGTAAATTCGACTTCTTGTGTGGAATGTAATGATGGGTATTTTGTATCTTCAAATTCCTGTTATTCCTGTTTCTCTTCTTGCAAAACTTGTACTAATAACACAAGTTATGCGTGTTTGACTTGTAAAAATCAATATTATTTAACTCAAGGTTCAAAGTGTCTAAGTTGTTCATATCCTTGTTATTCTTGTTCTGGTAAAACAACTGCTGATTGCATCACATGTCAATCTGGGTATTACATATCGGGTTTGAGCACTTGTTTGCGGTGTAATAATTCATGTTCGACTTGTTATGGTGGATTAAACACGGAATGTCTTTCTTGTAATTATGGACATTATTTACAAGGAACCAACACATGTCTAAAATGTTCGCCTGGATGTGTCACTTGTACAATATCTTCAACAAATTGTAATTCGTGTTATTATTATTATTACTTGTCGGGAAACACTTGTTTGAAATGTGATTCATCATGTAGCACTTGTAATGGTACAGAGCCAAACAATTGTTTAACATGTCCATATTCTTATTATTTGTCAAATGGATATTGTTTCATGTGTGATTCGTCGTGCAGCAATTGCAACGGTTCCGGGCCTAATAATTGTTTGTCTTGCAGATATCCGTACGGTCTATTGAATGGATATTGTGTGAAATGTGATTCATCATGTAACTCCTGTAATGGTACAGGGCCAAACTATTGTATATCTTGTCCCGTTTCCTATGGTCTATCAAATGGATATTGTGTAAAATGTGATTCATCGTGTTATAGTTGTAACGGTACAACTTCTAACGATTGTCTTTCGTGTTATAATCAGTATGTTTTAATTTCTGGCAAATGTATTCAATGTGACCCATCTTGTAGTAATTGTGATGGACCAAATGCCAACAATTGTTTGTCGTGTAACACTTATTCAAGTCTTGTTAATGGGTATTGTTTGAAATGTGATTATTCATGCTCAACGTGTTATTCAAGTGGACCTGGAAATTGTCGAACGTGTAAATCATATTATTATTACTCAAGGGGATATTGTTATCAATGCAGTTCAAATTGTAGTACTTGTTATGGAACTGCTGAATACAATTGTTTGACATGTAAGACTGGTTTTTATTTAATAAATGGATATTGTATGCCTTGTAATACAAATTGTAGTAGTTGCAGTGGTAATTTCGAAAATAATTGTGATTCTTGTCAATATGGTTTCTATTTAAAAAATGGGTCGTGTATCCAATGTCCTTTAAATTGTGGTTTTTGTAAAGGTTCTAAATGTTTAAATTGTAAATGGAATTATTATCTATCAGACAATGTTTGTTACCCATGTCATTCTGAGTGTGGTAGTTGTGATGGTCCTGAAAGAACAAACTGTACTGGATGTAATGACGGAAAATATCCAGATTATGATCACGGGGAATATAATCACACGTGTCTACCATGCCAGACACATTGTGCGTACTGTGATAATTATGGTTCTTGTTATGAATGTGAAAGTGGGTATTACTTTTCTAATACTGGTGAATGTGTTGAGTTTGAAAATAAACTGTGCGCATATGGATATAGTAATAACGAATGTTATGAATGTATTGTTGGATATTATTTAGATAAAAATGATTGTTTGAAATGTCCAAGCATATGCAAACAATGTTTTGGACCCACAACAAATCAGTGTTATTCATGTATTGATGGGTATTATTATACATCTTATACATGCCTCCAATGTTCTTCGGCGTGTCAGACATGCAAAGACAGTTCAACCATTTGTTTGTCTTGTCAGTCGGGGTCGAGGTATTTGTGGAACAATCAATGCATTTCTTGTGATAATTGTAAGTCTGGGCATTGCATTTCGAATACAACTAAGTGTGATTTGTGTAATGACGGATATTATTCTGAAATTGGGATTTGTAAACCTTGTGACTCGATTTGTCTCACGTGCTGGAGTTCTCCTTCGAAGTGTTCGTCTTGTAAATTGGGGACTTATTTTGCGAATGCGACTTGTCTCACTTGTGATGCAAATTGTGAGACCTCTGGGTGTTACACGGCTTTGGGATGCACAAATTGTAAACCAGGATACTTCCCAAAAAACCTTAAATGTAGCCAATGCAGTGAAATCACAAATTGTGTTACTTGCAGCCAAACCGAACAAAAGTGTACAACTTGTACATCTGAAATTTCATATGTCAATTCAAATGGGTTGTGCTCACTTTGCGACGGGACATGTAGAATTTGTAACATGGATGGAACATGTAACGGGTGTATTGACAATTATGTACCATATTCAGTTAACAACAGATCATGTCAGGCGTGTTCTTCGTTTGACATCAATTGTAATTCATGTGACTTTAATCTATTTAGAATATGCACGCAATGTATAGACAATTATTACTTAAACTCAAATGGCACTTGTTCTCAGTGTGATTATACTTGTGCGTATAATGGATGCAACAAAAAGACTGGAATATGTGAAACGTGTGCAGTGGGGTACACAAAACAAACTGTTGACAGTATTCAATGCGAGGAGTGTCGGTTCTTTGATTATTATTGTTCAACTTGTTCACAAACAACCAGAAAATGTACAGGTTGTATAACTGGCTTATATCCAAGTCCATCATCGCCGTTTTTTTGTACGTTTTGCCACTCCACTTGTGAATATGATTGTTCACCTATAACGGGAAATTGCATCACTTGTATTGATGATCAATACACAATCAACCCATCAAATCCAAAACAGTGTCAGAGTTGCTCAGGATTTGATAACAATTGTATGAGTTGTTCAACAACAGAACGGAAATGTTTAGATTGTATGTATGATGTTTCGTATTTGGTGGATGGAGTTTGTTTATTATGTGATTCAACGTGTTCAACATGTGACTCAAGTGGTGTTTGTACACAGTGTATTGATAATTACGTGTTTAAAGATCCAATGCAAAAGGGATGTTTAAATTGCTCATCATTTGACGCAAACTGTATAACATGTGATTCAACAAGTTCAAGATATTGTTATAAATGCAAATCGGGTATGTACCCCGATACTACCACTGGGAAGTGTAAACCATGCGATTCTTCATGTGGTGGTAGTTGCGACACAACAAATGGTATTTGCACTAATTGTGTTCCTGGTAAAGTTTTTAGTGATCCGGAAAGTGATATATGTGTAGATTGTTCAACCTTTGATTTAAACTGTGCTGAATGTGCTTTGAATGGAGAAAGAAAATGTATAAAATGTTGGGAAAACAATGGGTTTTATTTACTAAATGGTAATTGTGTTGCGTGTGGTACAACATGCAAGGCAAATACATGTGACTCGACATCTGGATTTTGTTCACAATGTTTGTTAAATTACACAGTAACTTCTCCAATATCAAAAGCATGTGTAAAATGCTCTGAATTTGACTCATACTGTTCAAAATGTGCAGTTGATTTCACAAGAAAATGCGAATTGTGTACAAGTGGAAAATACCCAAAACCATCCGAAAACTATAAATGTGGTAATTGTGACCCTACATGTGAAGGTCAATGCAGTGGTACAACAGGTGTGTGTACTGGTTGTTCATCGAATTACGTCTTTTCAACAGCAAACAATTTAGTGTGTGATTCGTGTGCATCATTTGATTCAAATTGTCTGACGTGTGACTCGGCATATCAAAGAAAATGCGTAACATGTCGAACAAGTGGGATGTATCCAAGCGACTCAACATACAAATGTGTCTCATGTGATACAACATGCAATGGTAATTGTGGTCAAACAACTGGCAAGTGCACTGGGTGTATCAACAATTACGTATTTGAAGCGACTAAGAGTCGTGTTTGTGTTGCTTGCAAATCGTTCGATACAAACTGCAAAATATGTTCGTCTGATTACAACAGAAAATGTGTTGAGTGTGAAAGTGGATTCTATCCAAACGCAAGTGGTATCTGTGTACAATGTAACAATGGAAAGTGTTCAACGTGTGATGCAAGAACTGGGGTGTGCACATCTTGTGTGGTTAATTATGTATTTACAAATCCAAAAAGCAACACGTGCGAGCAATGCAAAGACTTTGATTCAATGTGTGAAGAGTGTTCAACCGATTATAACAGAATTTGTGTTTCATGCTCATCAAATTACTATCCAAACAAATCAAATGGAAACTGCATAAAATGTGACACGACCTGTGGAGGAAATTGCAATGGTACAAATGGGTTTTGTACCAATTGTATACCATTATATGTTTTCAATGAACCAATGTCTACAACTTGTATAGATTGTGGTGTTTTCGACACAAACTGTGTCAATTGTGACCAATCACCACGGCGTGTTTGTTCGCTGTGTAAGAGTGGAATGTTTCCACATGCATCTGGAAGATGTGGTGATTGTGACTCGACTTGTGGTGGTGATTGCCATCCGACACATGGGTATTGCACTGGATGTCAATCAAATTATGTTCTGTTTGCAACAAACAATTTACAATGCCAGAAGTGTTCCGACTTTGATCCAAATTGCAACACATGTGCAACTGATTATACAAGAAAGTGTACTCAATGTAATGCTGGTTTCTTTTTGGTGAACAACAAATGTGTCTCATGTGACACAACGTGCAATAAACATTGTGATCAAACCACTGGATATTGTACCGGTTGCATATCAAATTACATTAAATCTGCATTAAATCAAAGTATTTGCGTACCATGTCAAACACTTGACGCCAACTGCCTGACCTGTTCATCAACGGGTGAGAGAAAGTGTGTGATGTGTACCAATAAAACATATGTGAACAATATTGATAATAAGTGTATCAATTGTCCATCCGGATGCGACAATTGTAACGGTAAAACAGGTGAATGTACAAACTGTGCTAACAACAACGTGGTCAGTGCAACTGACTCAACTAAGTGTGAAACATGTTCGAATTTTGATAGCAATTGTAATACATGTGCATCTGATGCATCACGAAAGTGTGTCACATGCATAACTTCATATTACCCAAACACATCCACATACAAATGCCAACTCTGTGATTCAACATGTGGCAATCAATGCAATCCAACAAATGGATATTGCACTGGGTGTATGAGCAACTACGTGTTATACACAAACAAAGACAAATTGACATGTCAAAGTTGTTCACAAATGGACACACACTGTAATTTGTGTGCAACAGACTTTTCAAGAAAGTGTGTTGAATGTATAACCGGGTACTACCCAGATTCTTCTGGAACATGTGTGTTGTGTGATCCATCATGTAAAGATAAATGCAACAGACGAACTGGATACTGTGAGTCTTGTATCGCTAATTATGTTCTGATTACTTCTAAAAATCTTAAATGTCAAAATTGTAGCGTTTTTGACGCAAATTGCAAGACTTGTTCGTCTGATTACACTAGAAAGTGTGTAAAATGCAATACAAACTACTATCCAAATACAAGTGGTGATTATAGATGTAAAACTTGTCATGGATCTTGTGGAGGTCAATGCAGTGGTACAACAGGTGTGTGTACTGGTTGTTTATCAAATTACGTCTTTACAACTACAGAAAGTTTAGTGTGTGATTCGTGTGCATCATTTGATTCAAATTGTCTGACGTGTGACTCGGCATATCAAAGAAAATGCGTAACATGTCGAACAAGTGGGATGTATCCAAGCGACTCAACATACAAATGTGTCTCATGTGATACAACATGCAATGGTAATTGTGGTCAAACAACTGGCAAGTGCACTGGGTGTATCAACAATTACGTATTTGAAGCGACTAAGAGTCGTGTTTGTGTTGCTTGCAAATCGTTCGATACAAACTGCAAAATATGTTCGTCTGATTACAACAGAAAATGTGTTGAGTGTGAAAGTGGATTCTATCCAAATGCTAGTGGTGTTTGTGTTAGATGTGACACAACCATCACAAATTGTCTTACGTGTAATTCGAAAGAAAACATTTGTTTTACATGCAATGATCCATATTATTTGTCAAATCAAACATGTTTAAGTTGTGCTTCTGGAAGTTATAAAAATACAGAAACATCATGTGAAAAGTGTTACATCGGCACTCCAAATTGTCAAGCTTGTTCAACAAATACAGTTGGAATCCCTATTTGTACCACATGTTTTTCACCATACCAGATCAATTCCGAGTTTAATACGTGTGATTTTTGTGGAGCAAACAAAAGTTACAACGCCACAACAAAGAAGTGTGAAAGTAATAAGAATGGCTGTTTAACTGCTGTAAGTCAAGAAAGGTGTTTAAGTTGTTCAGATGGGTATTATTTATCCAACTACAAGTGTGTGTCAGCAACCAACTGTGTGTCCAAATCAACTCTTTCAAAAGTGTCATGTGACTGTTCGTATCAAATATCAGTTGGCTCAGACTGCCAAAGCACTTTATCAAAATGCAAATATCAAAGAAACTACAAAAATCAAAAGGAATGTATTCAATGCGAAGATAATAATATTGTTAATGAAAAGACTTGTCTAGTTGTTGTTAACATGTTAACATTGAGAAATGGTGTGGTTTATAGATGTGAAAATGGCAATTATTTAAATGAAAACAATCAATGTGTGAAATGTACTGATTACTCTTCAATTTGTATCAACTACAAAGCCAAAAGAACAATTTTGTCGTGTGCAAAAGACAAAGTTTATAACATTGAAACAATGAGCTGCAATAGTGATAACAATTGTTTGAAATACGGCAAAGATTATTGTTCAAAGTGTGTTGGTAATAACATGGAACTAAAATATGGACAATGCTCGATGTGTTCTGTACCCAATTGTAACTATTGTGAAGGTGGAAAGTGTAAGAGATGTAACGAAAAATACGTGATACAAACAAATGGGTTATGTGTTGAACAAAGTGAAGTCAGTTGTGCCAAAGCTAACGGAATGTCATGTCCCCAATGTAACGAAGGGTTTTATGCAATAGAAACT